TAGAACCAGAGTCACCCACTGTCCCCAACAGTGCCTCCCAACCCTCACACTGGGCCTCCTTCCTCTTGCATTTGCACACCTACTGAGCTCCTCCACTGCAGACAACCTGCTGAGGTGGCTGGAGATGCCTAGGGGGTCTCAGCCGTAATCACATCTGGCCTCTACCAGGACTCACTGCTCCCTTAATTCAAACCCTAACCTCTTAATCCTGTTTTGTAAAGGGGTGATAAAAATCACCTCCTCCAGGAAGCCTTCCCAGACTACTGACAAGTTTTACTCATTCCCCTCACTGAACACATTCAATTCAATTCCACAAGCATAAAGCATTTATGGGCATGGTAGTTGCACAAGACCATGTGGAGGACAGAGACAGGAGAAAAGTACAGCCTGGCCTTTACAGGAGAAAGTGGGGCTAAGTTGAGCTCAAATGTGACTCAATGGGAGGCCAAAGTGGGCAGATCACTTGAGCTTGGGAGTTTGAGAGCAGACTGGTCAACATGGTGAGACCTTGTCTCTACTAAAAACACAAAAATAATTATCCAGGAGTGATAGCACACACCTATGGTCCCAGCTACTCAGGAGGCTGAGGCAGGAGAATCACTTGAACCCAGGAGGTGGAGGTTGCAGTGAGCCAAGATTACACCACTACACTCCAGGCTGGGCAACAGTGTGAGACTGTCTCCAAAAAAACAAAAAGTGACTCAAGCACCTCTGCTTTGAAGGAGTTCAGAGCCTGCTCTGCACTGCAGGGTTATGTCAACATATGCAGCTCAGCTGAAGTCAGCTCCCTGAAACGCCCTATTCCACAAGCACATATTGAGCACCAAGTGTGGCCCAGAGAGGGAAACTGACCTGCCAGAGTCACACAACGAGAATGTGGCAGACGCAGATTCAAGTCCACGCCTGTCAGACTCTGAAGTCCGTGCTCTTTCCCCTACCCCAGGAACACTCACGAACGTGAGCTCTATAGCAGCTGAGGAGGCGTTTTAAAGAGAGAATGGGGATGTGGGGATCCAGAAAGAAAACACCCAACAAATAGGGACAAAGGTGGGCTGGAGGTGTGGCGAGGGCCTGTGGAAATGGAAGTAGAGGGACGTCAAGGGGAGGTGAAGCTGATTGGGGCCATGTTCCCGTTGATCTGAAATGCAGGGCACAGGAGAAGCAAGCCCCAAACTAGAAAGGGCGGTGGAGACAGGCCTTGAGTGCCAGGAGATCATGATTAATGATCAAAATGGCCACCGCTGACTGAGCGCTAACCATATGCCAAGCAGAGGATGGAGTTAAGCGACAGGCTTTGGCAGCTGGGAAGGGAGGACCTAGGGGTTAGCACCTTGGACAGCGGCCCCAGCTAGGCGGGCACGGGCAAGGCATTGTGGGTAATGGGGCATGTCCTGGGGAATGGCGGATATTTACTTGATAGATGGGTCACTGAGGCCCAGAGCGGGGATGGGACTTGCCCAAAATCACACAACTGGCCAGTTACAATCAGTCCTGGGCCTTCATCTCTTTGGCTTAGGGCTCCCTAGGGTGGGCCTTCTGGGTGGCCCTCGAGTCTTCCCTCAAGTGCATCCTTTGTTCAGACCCTCCTTGTGGCCTGTGGCCCTGGAACAGAGTAGGTGAGGCTCTGGGCTCTGCACAGAGTCTGGAAGACCAAGGTTTGAATCCCAACTGCTTGTGTGACCTTGGGCAACTCATTTCCCCACTCCGGGCTCCATTGCTCTCATCTGTGATTAGAGATACTAGTCCCTAATTCTGAGGTGTGGTCAAAGTTACACGAGATAACACATGTCAGGCACCCAGTGCAGTACCCAGTGCACAGCAGGTGCCCGACAACAAGTGGCAGCTGTCAGTGGTGGTATTACTAAACTCCCTGGAGGAAAGGATGGCACCTTCCTTACCTCTGCCTGTATCCCCCTTCAGGCTGTCCCTGCTCTGAGCATAGCACAACATCTTGCAGAAGGAGGGCTCAAATGGACTAGGTACAGCAGCAGGAGATGATGCCCAGAAAGGGAGAGGAAGCGGCCTGAGGTTGCATGGAGGGCATCAAAGGCAAATAGAAAGGTAGGCTGGGAGCTCAGTCGGGGCACCCTGTGTACCTCCCACCCCAGGTCTGGCTTCCCAGGAGGGCCCTGCGGGGGCAATGGTACCAGATGGAAGTCGCCCAGCAGCTGGGGGGTACTGCAGGACCCACAGACCCCAGGAAGTCCTGAGCAGGGGCAGGAAGCAGCAGCCAGAGCCACTGGGGGGCTTCCTGCTAGAGGTGAAGCAGCAGCAGGAGAGGCCATCCAGGCCCATGTGATGCTGATGTCAGGGAAGCCGGGAGGGACCCAACTCCTGGGGCATCAGGGTGCCACCGTGTATCCTGAGGTGAGGCTGCACCTCTACCCATTGCCTCTTGGTGTTGGGAAGCTGCAGATACAGCTGCCTCGTTCCCTCCTCCTCCAAAGAGAGGGCAGCCCCAGACACAGGAAACATGGGAGGTGGGGGTTCTGAGAGCTGTGGGGAGAGGGTAAGTAGAGGATTTGGGGTCAGTAAAGGCAAAGGGCACCCCTAGCCCAGTGAGGGACCACCCTGAGGTGGGAAGAAATAGAGAAGAACAAAAGGAAGAAAGCATTTTAGCAAAGGCCTGCAATATGCCAGGTCCAGTTTTTGTTTTTGTTCTTTTCACTTTACATCCTATAAATGGGCATTTTAATTCCCATTTCACAGATGAGAAAACTGAGGTTCACAGAGGTTAAGGAATTGCTGAAGGACACACAGGCAGTGGCAGAGTGATGATGCAAACCTGATTTGCCTACATCCAAAGCTCTCTAGGAAGTACTCTGGGGACAGACCTGGTAAGAGGGTCTGCCTTACCACCCTTTCCCTGAGAGAATGGTTGGAGGGTTGGCAAGATCTGGCATCAAAGGGGTGGGAATGGATTGGGGGTATCTGCAGGGACCAGCCAAGGCAGCCCAGGCCCTCCTGAGAGTCCCCAGTACTTACCACACACTCCGGCGAGGGGTGAAGGACTTGTCCACCCTGAAACACAGCAAGAGGAACCATAGGTGAGGGGACATCCCTACTCGCCAGGTTGGCCCAGCACATCAGCCCCACCTGCACTGCGCCACCCTCCCATAGGGGCTGGAGAAGGTCCTGTTTCTAAGGCTGCCTGATGCAGTCACTGTCACCCTTAGGCTGCAGGGGCCCAACTGTCAGATTAGGACAATGGGAAGGCATGGGGGTTAAAGTGCCAGGAAAAGAGGCAGGACTGGGGGCAGTGGGTAGGGGGCAGGCTATGGGGTGTTAGCAGGGGTGGGGGGACAGGTGGAGTAGGACAGTGACTACAGCAGTTTGGATCATGGCAAGGATGTAGGGGTACGGTTGGGGCTAGCTAGAGCCTTTCCAGGCAGAATCGAACAGTTCGCTGGATGTTTATGGTTTATGGTGGGCAGAAAGAACATCAGCCCCAAGGCCTGTAGCCTGTCTCCATCCTGAAGCTTTATTCACTCACATCCTGGTGGATAACCAGGAAGTAAATATCTGTGAATCTGGGAGGAGATCTAGGTGGAGCTTCCCCCCACCTTCATCCCAACACACATACCCTGCTCCCCAAAACCTTCAGAGGTACCCCAGACTTTGTTTCCCCCAAGCCCTCCCAGATCCAGCCCCAGGGAGCATGTGTGGGTAGCTCCCTACCCCCGATTCTCCCACTGCCCTCTGAGGGCACCTTGGTGCTGCTGGGGGCAGGGGCTGAGTTTGTTATCCCTTCCCATGTCCCTAATCCGACAGTTGGGCCCCTGCAGTTTGTTGCCCAGCTGTTGGGACAACAAACAACTCACCTCCTGCCAGAGGCAAGAAAGGGATGAGGAGGGAGCCCAGCCCGACTCTGCCAGTGAGGGGCATTCTCCAGAGGGCAGGGCTGGGGGCTCCCAGGGACAGCTGATGGGGAAGGTTGACTCTGCAGACAGGGAGGCCAAAGAGGCCAGGACTTGCCCAGGGTCACAGAACAGGACCCAGCCTGTGAGCTGCCCCTCAGTGTTGGCTGGCCAGGATACTCAGGGCCCAGCCCAGGCTCCTCCTGTCACCCGACACCTAGCAAGACCCCAGACAGAGGGATAGCCTGTGGCCTCCCACCCCACCCCACCCCTCTGCTGGGATCCCCTCAGAAGTTGAGTGTCCACAAGGGGAAGGCAGCTTGTACACAATCCCCATAGCTCAGAGAGCACTAACTATGCCCACAAACAAACCCCCGTGCACCACACCCCAAGGTGAGTCCTGTGGGTCCCTCTGACTGCTGGGAGGCAGGACCTGGGAAAGATCATGGATCCACTTGTCTGGCTGGGCAGGTGCTCTGGGCCCACTCTGTGTAACCCATCTTCCCTCCTATTTGCCAAATCTCCGCAACAGGCAAAAAGCCCCATCCCACCTCTGCACCCCTGGACCCCAAGATGAACCTGCTGCTACTCTGAGTTCCTCCAAGCCTCCAAGCCCAGGCAGCCAGTAGCCCAGGGAGGAGGGGGTTCCCGAGAGCCAGGCCGCAGGAAGGAGGGCAGCTTGGTGCCCAGGGTGGGCAGGGCCCGCTAAGGGCTTCTAGAGTCCCTTTATCCAGAGCCTCATGGAGGGGGTCCAGCAGCTGCAGAGGCAAAGTGGGAGCTCCAGCAGAGCCTTCCCGGACCTGCTTGCCCTGACTCCCGCATACCTACACATGTGAGCAGGCGCGCACACATGCACGCGCACACACAGGCCCAGTAAACCCCGCAGCCCCAGTTACACACATAAGCGCCACTGTCGTGTGCTTAGACAAACACGGCAGTGTCCATCCCGCGCTCACCTCCTCACACACGCACATGGACTCGCAATGGGAACACACACAGACACAGAAACACACACACACTCAGGCGCCGCAACACGACAGCCATGCGCGCACTGAGGTCAAATGCTCAGCTCCCACAGCAGTCACAGCTCAGACCCACCCGCCCGAGCGCGCGCACGCCCCGCACGGGCTCCCCCGACGAGCGCACACGCACACGCGCGCACACATGCGGGCACGCGCCCCGCCCCGCTCCCTACCCGCCGTAGGCCCCGAAGGTGAAGCTGCGCTTCCGGCCGCTCATGGTGCCGCCGCCGCCGCCCGGCCCTGCCCGCGCGAGCCGGAGCCGCCTTCCCGCGCCCGGGTCACCTTGGCAACGCGGCTGCCCCGCCCCCGCCACAGCTCGAGTCCGTCCGCGCCCCCGCGGGCCGCGGTCCAGCTGCCGGGGGCCGCTGGCACAGAAAGAGCCGCTTGTTCGCGCCGCCCTGGGCCGGCCGGGCGGGGGCTTCGCGGGACTTTCCGAGCCGGGCCCGGCCCGGCGGGGGGTGCGGGGCCCGGGGCAGCCCCTCCCCCACCCCCTTCCTCCCCCGCCGCCGCCGCACCCCATTCGGCCGCAGACCCTCTGCTGGGGGACGCCCTCCTCCCGCCCCCTCGAGCCGCTGCGCTCCTCGGCGGATCCGTCCCCAACATCAGGAGCTGGGAGCTCCCTCCCGGCCGGGCGGAGACCTCGGAAGCCTGGTTCTGCACGGCGGGCATGTCCCATCCCTCCCTGTCCCTCGAATTTCTCATTCGTAAAGTGAGATTCCTCCCGCAGGCCTCCTAGGACCTGGGGGTGACGAAGTGAATTCACGCACGTAAAGCGCTGGGCCCAGGCCCTGGCGCACAGCTTAATAAATGCCGGCTACAGGAAATCCCAGAGGGGACAGGCATTCAGCCCTTCCCGCGACCGAACCAGTGAAGGAAGAACAGTCTCCAATAGCCGCTCCTTGCCGACCTGTCTCCCTTTCTCCCAGGAGCCCTAGTGAGGGTGGGGAGCTAAGGGAAGGGGTGGAGATGCCCCACCCCCCACTCTTGGAAACTCCTGCAGCCCAGGTCCCAGCCGTTAGAGGGAACTGGGCTCTGAGTTCTGCAGCAGGTTCTCTCAATCATTCAACAAACACTCCAAGTCCCTCTTCTGCACCCAGCTCGCCCAGAGTTCACAGTCCAGTGTTCTTCCTCACAGTAAGTTGTTTCCCTACCCGAGTGGAGATGTACCCCCAGACACCGGGTCACTAGCCCCGACCCCAGGGCACACTGTCCTCCACCCCAACACACACTCTCCCCCACCCATAGGAGAGATCATTCCCCCAGGCCCTGCACCCAAGGAAGGCCCCACAGTCTCAAGGTTTTTCTATGTGATTTTCTGTTTAAGCAAACTGCAGGCACAGATGTAGCCGGGATGAGGGCGGAAGAATGACCAAGGGCACAAGGACAGGGTGGCAGGGATTCTTCAGAAGCCTTTCGGGAGCTGTTCCACCTGGGACCTGGGCCTGGGCTTGAGGAGCTCCAGCATCCCTGGGAAACGACGGGTCTGGGTATCAGGCCCCGCAGTTTGTCTCACCTAAGCGGGGTATGCGGCCCTGCGGTTCCCCCACTTCAGACATGAAAGAGGCTGATATCCTAGCTCACACCAATTACTTCTCTCTTGCGAATCTGCTCTCAGCCCCCACTCGGCTCCCACCCAGGGCCTTTTCTCTGCACATTCTGGGAGGTGCAGGAGTCATCAAGAGCCCCTCGTAGGGTTCAAAGCCTGGGCAGGGCAAACATTTCCTCACTCCCAGAACTATGTCCCTTAGTTTTCGGCCCTCAGGGGAGGGTCTGGCTCCCCCTTGCAAGGTGCTCTGGAGCCTGGGCTGGGCCCCTTCTGCTCTGACCAAGGCTGCAGATTCCTTGGGGGGAGGAATCACGCCAGGACAGTGTGGGAAGCAGCCTGGGAGGGCTCCTGAGGGGTTGGTCCTGGGAGCACTGAGATTTGCCTGAGAAGGGAGGAACTTCCCTCCTTCCTTCCTTCCCTCCTTCCTTTCTTCCTTCCTCCCTACCTCCCTTCCTCCTTCCCCCCTCCCTCCCTTCCTCCTTCCCTCCCTCCCTTCTTCCTTTCTAAGTAGAGGCAGCAGCAGCAGGGGCTCTCAGAGGTGGGAGGCAGTGGGGTAGAGGACTGAAGAGCTAGGCCTGGGCTGTGGGGATGTGCACTGCCTGGGCTGGGGCCTGGATTCCAGCCACATCTGGGCTGCTGCACCCCCCTTAGACATGGACCTACACCTCGCCACTCTTTTCAGTGGGAATGATTCCTGAGTGGTTCTGTATGCCCAGTTGGCAGAGGGGCCAAGGGGCTGCCATCGTGCCAAGTTTCCCAGCCGGGCCTGGCCCCCGGGAGGCCCTGCTGGTACTGGGACAGTGGGCCCTTGAGAGGGGCCCTAGGGGCTGCAGGGTTCCCACTGAAGACAAAGAGCCCAGTGTGGGCTCCAGCCTCTCTCCTCAGACCAGCTGCAGCTGCCTCATTGGCAAGGGATGGGGGTGGGGGTAGGAGTGGCAGTGGTTAGTGGGGCTCACGTTCCCTTTGCCAGGGTTGCAGCAGGACATTCCCTGACCAGCTCCTGGTCCCTTGGTGACAGCTGAATTTAAATGCACCTTGTTAACCTACAAGACCACGTCCAAGAATTTACCCTCTGCGTCATCGCATGTGAACCTGTAGACAAACGGCAAGGACACGGGACATTGAGACATGTGCTTATATCTTCACCCTTGAAGGCTAAAATCTCAGCTCTCCAACTTGTCACCTGTGTGACCTTGGGCAAGTTATTTAAGCTTTCTGTGCTTCAGTTTATTCATCTGCAAAATGGGGTTGGTAATGAAAATAACTACCTACTTCAAAGGGTTTTGCCAAGGATGAAATAAGTTATTGATGATAAAGCATCAAGAATAGTTGAGTTTTTGCTACTCAACATGTGTTGTTAAATAAAACATTTGCTGGCTGAGCACGGTGGTTCACACCTGTAATCCCAGCACTTTAGGAGACTGTATAGGGAGGATCACTTGAGACCAGGAGTTGGAGACCAGCCTAGGCAACATAGTGAGACCTCGTCTCTACAGAAAGTCTAAAAATTAGCTAAGTGTGATGCTGCACATATACAGTCCCAGTGACTAGAGAGGCTGAGGTGGGAGGATTGCTCAAGCCTGGTAGGTTGAGGCTGCAGTAAGCCCTGATTACACCATTGCACTCCAGCCTGGGTGACTGAGCAGATAGAGATTCTGTCCAAAAAGAAAAGAAAAAGAAAGGTCAGGCATGGTGGCTCACACCTGTAATCCCAGCACTCTGGGAGGCCGAGTTGGGTGGATCACTTGAGGTCAGGAGTTCGAGACCAGCCTGGCCAACATGGTAAAGCCCTGTCTACTAAAATACAAAAATCAGCCACGCATGGATGTGGGCGCCGGTACTACTATCTACTTGGGAGGCAGAGATTGCAGTGAGTGCAGAGTGCCCCTGCACTCCAGCCTGGGCGACAGAGCAAGACTCAATAAATGGCCACCAGAGGAAATTTGAGAAATATAGTCCATGTATGCCTTGCAGTACCATGCAGTTATGGGAGAGATCTGTGTGTGAGCATGTGGAATGGCCTCCAGGACTGACACACACACAGAGGCAGTGTGACAGGGACCAGCGCTGGACCAGACTCTGATGCTTCCTAGCTGTGTGACATCAAACACATTAGTAAACATCCCGTGACACTGGCCTCATTGGCCCACTGTGACAGGGAGATCACTGCTCCGCAGTCAGCACAGGGTGCTTGCTGACTGGCACTGGGAAGTCACTGCCATCTTTGAAGGAGGTTGAGCCCCCTTATTCCTTGGCCTCCAGCTTCTTACCTAGAAAACAGTGCCAGGCTGCTTTCTAGGGTCCAGGCCCTCCCTCTGGGAGGAAGCCTCCCCGCTGGGCCTCCTAGATTTGTACCCAAGCTGCCAGACTGCAGAGGAAGAGAGAAGAGCGCAGGGTGGAGGGTTACAGAGCTCCCTTTCCAAGTTTACCTCTCGTTGAACTCTGGGTGCTCTACCCATCTACCTCCAGCTCCCCCTTTTCAGGGAAATGCAAGAGCAGAGAGGGAGAAGCAGGCCCCAGGGAAGATCTCAGGCCTGGGCTCTAGGTGGAACTGGTGGGGCCAACTCTTGCCAGAGTCCCCAACAGCCTCCTCCCCTCCCCCAGACATCCTCATTCAGGATATCTGCCCCGGGCCTCTTGGACAGGAGAGGAGGCATTCCTGGGCTTCCTGCCCTGGCCCAGGCAGCCTCCTGTGTGGCTTTGCATTAATCAGTTTTTCTCTCTGGGCCTCAGTTTGTTCATCTGTTAAACCCCTACTCTCACTTTGCTGGGTTAAAGACCTAACAATGGAAAGATAGATTTGCCTTGAAAGAATTCTGCTAGCTATGAGTATCCTTACTTTGCCCATGGCCTTTCTAAGCCACACCCAGTCAGTCCCGGGAACCTTCTGGAAAAAGAGTCTCCTGGGGTTTCCCTAGCCCCTGAGAAGGGAGGGAACAGTGAGTAGGATTTGGCTCACAGCCCTTTCCTAGGCAGCTGGCCAGTGAGGTTACTGAGCCAGCCTCTGCCCTGGCTCTGAGACTCGTGCTCTATTAAATGAGTTTCTGAGACCCCGCCTACTCAAAGGGACCCCATCAGGGACCAGGAAGATCTGGCCTGGCCAGAGTACCTGCCCCCACTCAGGCTGTATCCTGAGGATGTGTCTTTCTGGTCTCTATGCAGATCATGTGCCTTGAAGGGCCCTGGGACAGCACCCAGGTGCACGTTCTTTCATTCCTTCCCCAGTCATTCAATAAATGTATATTGGGCACCCACTGTTGGGCTGACACTGTTCAGACACTGGCGACAGAGTCTGAACAAGACAGACAAGGTCTCTGGTAGACCTATGTGCACACTTGTACACAAACTTTCCCAGGTCACACATGCACTTGTTTAGTACTGTGCCATGCACATGGAAAGAGACATCTAACTCATGCCCACAGAGCAAATGCATGCAGACATGCTCATGACCATCAGCCCCTACGCTGCAAATCCACAAGCATATGCACATGCAAAGGTCAACTCAGGCTCCCACCCACAGGTCCCTAATCAGTGCTCACTCGCCTACTGACTCCGCTGGGTTTGTACATGCATGCGAGCACCCACTAATAATGGCAGATACAGGCACAGGAATCTCAGGCCCACACACCCTTACTCAAATCACATTGTGTTCATACAGTATACACAGACAGACGTGTACACACCTTATATACACACATGGAGCATCCAGCTAACTACTGGGAAGAAATAAAGGTAGGAGACAGAATGCCTCTTTGGGGGTCAGAGAAATATGCAATTGCTACATCTCCAAGGATTGCAGAGTGGAGGCCAAGACTCCTCTCATGTATTATAGGCTTGCGTCCAGCCAGCCAGCCTCCCTCTCCTACTTCCCCTGCGAAGGGTGTGGCCCTCCCAGCCCATTTTCAGGGACAGTTTGACAAAGCTGGGAGGGAAACTGCCTGACACCCAGAGCTCCCCTCAGGAAGCTGGGCTGACAGAGCCTTGACCTAGACGGACCTGCATGTGGCCCCAGCTGTGTTGGCAACCCACCGTTTCTCATCACAAGTGCCTTCCCACTTCTGGCCTCTGCTGGTTCATCTATAATGAGGGGAGAGGGTTTCTCAACAGTTCCTTACGATGTCACTCTCCCATGAGGCCAACCAGTCTGGGACTCTGAGAGCCCCTCTCCACCCCAACAAGGTCCTCACTGAGGCAGTGGCTCTCAACAAGGGTGGCTCTACCCATCAGAGGGTACCAGGGTGGTTTTGGTCCCCAGAAATGATGGATGGGGTCACCACTGTCATTCAGTGGGCAGGGGACAGGAAAGCTACGCTGGCGAGAGTCCTACTCCAGACTTGTTGTGCATCAAATATCCTCCTAGGTATTCAAGTGGGTAAAAAGCCCATGTAACCCATCCTAGAACCTAACTCTGGTTTACAAATGAGTATTTTTTTTTTTTTGGTGTGGCTTTAATCCATAATAAATTTTTCAGAGGTGCAACTAATGAAGTCATTCTGAACTAGAGGTCAGGTACAACGATGTGATTTTCTGCTCTTAAATCTAAGGGCTTCGTGGCTCACACCTGTAATCTCATCAGTTTGGGAGGCTGAGGTGGGTGGATTACCTGAGGTCAGCCATTTGAGACCATCCTGACCAGTATGGTGAAACCTCATCTCTACTAAAAATACAAAAATTAGCTGGGTGTGGTGGTGTGCGCCTGTAGTCCAAGCTACTCAGGAGGCTAAGACAGGAGAATCACTTGAACCTGGGAGGCAGAGGTTGCAGTGAGCTGAAATGGTGTCACTACACTCCAGCCTGGGTGACGGAGTGAGACTCTGTCTCTATACAAAAACAAAAACAAAAGACAGACAAAAAATCTAAGGGTAGGTCGGGCGTGCTGGCTCACACCTGTAATCCCAGCACTTTGGGAGGCCGAGATGGGCGGATCACCTGAGGTTGGGAGTTTGAGACCAGTCTGATCAAAATGGAGAAACCCCGTCTCTACTAAATATACAAAATTAGCCAGGAGTGGTGGTACATGCCTGTAATCCCAGCTACTCGGGAGGCTGAGGCAAGAGAATCGCTTGAACCTGGGAGGCGGAGGTTGCAGTGACCCGAGATTTCACCATTGCACTCCAGCCTGGGGAACAAGAGTGAAACTCCATCTCAAAAAAAAAAAAAAAAAAAAGCAAGACTACATCTATATTAAAATAATTTTAAAAATTTAAATCTAAGGTTACATATTTAATAAATAGGTGCCCAAGGCTGGTTACTTAATTAGCTGTTGGGGTGTGGTCATGCCAGAGCATTCATATAGGGAGGTGGAGGGCCTTTTTCATCTCTTATGCCAGTATATGGTTGGTTTTTGAAGTCAGGTGTCTAGGTATACCTAGGACTATCATGATAGAAAAATAACTTTTTTTTTTTTTTTTGAGACCGCGTTTCACTCTTGTTGCCCAGGCTGGAGCGTGGCACGATCTCGGCTCACTGTAACCTCCACTTCCCGGGTTTAAGCAATTTTCCTGCCTCAGCCTCCCAAGTAGCTGGGATTATAGGCGCCCAACACCACACCCGGCTAATTTTTGGATTTTTAGTAGAGACAGGGTTTCACCGTGTTAGCCAGGCTGGTCTCGATCTCCTGACCTCGTGATCCACCCGCCTCGGCCTCCCAAAGTAGTGGGATTACAGGCCTGAGACACCGCGCCCGGCCGAAGGACGCGTTTTGAAACGTGTTCTCTAATGGGTCCGGGAGTCCGCCGCGGTCTCGGGCGCCTCTTAGTGGTTGTAATCAGAACTGCAGGAGAGGGCCGGCGGGCGCCAGGACCAGGGACAGCGCCCCGGGCGCCTCTCCGAGAAGGGTGGGGACCCGGGGCCGTCCGGACAGCGCCCCGAGCCACCTGCCGCGCGCTCGCCGCCCTCCGCACTTCCTCACTCCTCCCTTACACGGAAGCGGCCCCAGCGCCCATCCTCGCCCTCTGCCCGGCGTCAGGCGCCGCGCGTCTCCAGCTCACAAGGGTGCACCTGCGCCCGCCCACTGTGCTCTCGCCTCCCCCTCCCGCGGGACGCGTTCTCTTGGTGCGCAGATCACGGAGCTGCACCTACGCGTTCCGGGACCTCTGTGATCCTGACAACAGGCCCGTGACGCTGATCATGCAAGAATTACAAGTCTGCCATGGCTGACGGTGAATATTGAGGTGCGCAAATAGAGCAGGTCAAGCTCTTCCGGGGTCCCCAGTACCTCAGTCCCCATCACCCCTGCACTGTGACTCAATGACACAGCCCCTTCTAGTTCCCGAGGTCTTGTACCAAGCACTTTCATCCAATCTTTATGCCCACCCTGTAAATTAGGTACAATCATCTCCCGCATTTCACAGATCAGGAAGCTGAGATCTCAGAGGCTGAGTGGCTTGCCTAAGGATTAGTGGACGCAGATATGGCTACAAAACCTCTGAAGCCTTCACACTGCTCTGAGTCACTGTGAGGGATGCTCCTGCCAGGAAGAAAGTCCTTCCAACGGTACATGCTGGCCGGCCCTGGCTGCTCTGTCCTGCCATCCTCAGAGGCTTCTGGGCTAGAATGGGGGCATGCAGCCTCCAGATCTCTCACAGAACCCAATCTCCCCATCCTTACAAGCTTTAGACTCACAAAGCACCTCCCAAAAACGCACAGTAGGTGCTTAATAAACCTGTTGCTTGGCTCAAGCCCTGCCTTCCAGGAGCCAGGGTTCTAAATGCATTCTACACAGCCTGGATACACAGCAGGGCAGAGTAAGCCAGTGAGGAAGGGCATGGGTCAAGAACTAGACAGAATGGGTTCCAACTCAGCTTTTTGTTGTTTGTTTTGAGATGGAGTCCCTCTCTGTTGCCCAGGCTGGAATGCAATGACATAATCTCAGCTCACTGCAACCTCTGCCTCCAGGGTTCAAGGAATTCTCCTGCCTCAGCCTCCCAAGTAGCCAGGATTACAGGTGCCTGTCACCATACCCAGCTGATTTTTGTATTTTTAATAGAGATGGAGTTTCACCATATTGGCCAGGCTGGTCTAGAACTCCCAACCTCAAGTGATCCTCCTGCCTTGGCCTCCCAAAGGGCTGCAATTAAGACAAGAGCCACTGCACCCAGCCCCAACTCAGTCTTGAATTGTGACTATCAGCCTTAGTTTCCATGTCTGGAAAATGGAGATGACAGTAGCTCTTAGCTCACAGGGTGATGGCATGTTTAACAAGGTGATGCACAGACACCTTGGCATAATGCCTTGTGTTTATGAACGGCTTGCACAGTGGTGGCTGTTAACACTGTTGCCAGTAGGGTCTTCTTTGGGATATACAAAGCCCAGGAACCCCAGCTGAGTAATGCCCTCATTTACCCCAAGGGTAAATCAGG